GCCCCAGTTCTGGAGGCTGGTGAGGTGGCTGAAGAAAGCCTTGAGCTGCGTGTCCTAGAAAGCTGCGCTCAGACTTGGGCCTTTGGGAATCCTACCTTAATATTCTCCAACAACCGTCCCCCAGGCAGAGCCAGTCCCCCCTTGAAAACAAATCTGCTCGCAGCCGCACCTGTCAGAGGAGGCTGAGCCCAGCTGGGGCGCCTCACCCACATGGCAGGTGGAAAGCACAGCCGGGACAAGTGGGCTGCCACCCGTGGGCCCTTTCTCAAGGTGGGGATGCTAACGAGAGTAGGGGCAGGGGCTCTGCCTTTCACTTGGGAATGGGGGAGGGGGAGGGTTCATTCTAGATGGGGGGCCTCCACTTCTCCCTCAGTGCTGGCACTCCCCAAAGTTGATGTTTGCCTGGTTCTCTCTCTCTCTCTCTCTCTCTCTCTCCCCTCTCCCACTCTCCCCCTCTCTCTCTTCAGCTCTGCTGGCTGGCTCACGAAGAAGGCTAGGCTGGGTTTTCTCTTGAAGGCATTTAGACTAGTTTTCTTTAGGGACGTTCCAGTGTGGCTACTATTACCTCACTATCCACATGGGCCCTGCAGCTCATGTTGGGGCCTGAGTGGGTTCAGCTCGAAGCCTCTCCTCCATGCTTGCTAACGATTTCTCCATTTGCCTCTTTATTTTTTCCCGTCTCTTTCGTTTTGTCCCCTTTCCCCCACCGATGACATGCCGGGTCGGGTCTTGGCCCCCAAAGAGGCCTGCACGTAGGGCGGGAAAGGTGGCTGATCACAGCAGACACCTCGGGCCGTGCTCCCCTTCCTCCTCTTGCCTCACTTCCCTTGCACGGAGGGCAGGCCCGGTGCTAAGGAGGGAGCCCAAGACACAGCACAAGATCCTCAGATTCTAAATCTAGGGCCAGAGCCCAGCTTCCCACGCCTGTGCCCCTTCCCAGGGTCCATCTCCCCTTGGGCCTGGGGAGCATCACACCCCAGGATGTGATGGATTCCCCAGGCGCCTTCAAAGGACTCCACATTTGTTTGCAATGCAGACCTTGAATCCTGCTCTGGTCATAAATGTTGTTTATTTTGACTAGGACCTACTGAAAGGGGATTGGGGGTTAGGGAGGGCACAGAGAGGATGCCTAGGGAAGATCATAAAACCATTAGCAGGACAGGGCTTTTAGGGGTCACAGGATCATAGAATTTTCTGGCTGGAAAGAACATAGGCCATTAGGAAGGTCAGAGATGACCCTTTGTCAGCAAAAGGCCTCTAAGTGCCACATGGAGCTAGGATAGGGAGCTTTGGGTCTCTTTCTAGAAAGTGGACACAGGGTGTGGGGGCATGACCCCCCAATAACCTTACACGGGGTGGGCGATAGTTTGCTGAACATGATGGATTTGCCCTCCCGGTGGGAAGAACCAGTTGCTTGAATGTGCAGTTGAGCCTCTTGTTTGGGGGAGTGGGCACAGCTCTGGGCAAAGGAAATAAAATTCTGCCTCCACCATTATTTGGAGCAGCTAGTTTATACCAGGTGCTAAGCCCAATGCTCTTCCAGCACCTTCAAAACAATCTTGAAAGAGATGTGATCTCCATTTGGCAGAGAAGACAAACTGAAGCTCAAAGAGGGGAGGTGGTTTGCCTAAGGTCACACAGCAAGTTAGTGGTAAGGCCGGGACTAGACCTTAAGACTTTGGGTTCTTTGCACCTAATCTCCTTCCGCCCTGCTCTCCCCTCCACCACCTGGTTTGGTCTGGTCCTTGTGACCAAATGGGAACAGGCCTCCCTTCTCTCTAAAGCTCATGGTGGGACTCAGGAAAGTTCATGAGCAAACCTCTTTTCTAATAAGAGAGAACATCAGAGTCTAGGGCTCCTTCTGGTCCCTGGCATAGTCCTGGCTCAGTTCACAGAGAATGTGCTCCCATAAATCCTGCCAGAGTCAGGAAACCATCTTGGTTGCCCATTATTTGCTGTGTGACCCAGAGCAATTTACCTCACCTCTCTGAGCCACACGCTCTGGAGCCATCTCCAGACCTGAGGTCTTTATGGAAGGTGAGCTTTGGTGGAGGTGGTGGCAAGCTAGCTGACCCCTTTTGAGTCCCTCTGTGGTGTCACAGCTCTGGGGGGTTGGGGGGGGGAGATGAGATGAGACTTGGTTTTGCCCTCAAGGCTGACTCAGGTCACGAAAAAGACCTGTCAAAAGCAGGCAAGGCTAGGCTGGCTCAAATCCCTGCTGAGAGCGGGAGGCGGGAGGCGGAGAGCCAGGGCAAAGGCTGGGCTGTGAAGAGGCAGCTTAAGCAGCAAGTTCTTTCCTGATCCCCTGACTGTGTAATCCAGTTGCTTGGAGAATGGAAAATCCCCTTCTCTTCCCCCAGCACCCTCCCCCACAAAGGCCTCCTAATAGGCCTGCCAGCTTTGGGGTGCTAATCTGCCCAGATATCACTCTGAGAACAGGTTGCCAGGGGTCCCCATCCCAGCTGCCCCTCAGTGGAAGATGGGAAAGGGTGGGAGGGGGCAGGGGTCTGGCGACTTGTGTGTGTGGGGTCTCCTACTCTCTGGCCTACCCAAAGGATCAGGGACACTGATGGGCGTCTGTGCTAAGGGAAACTTCAGGGACGGGGACAGGGGCAGGAGGGCTGGGTCCCGGGGCAGAGGTGCCTTGGGCAGGGCTTATTATTCAACAGCCCCATTATTTCATCCAGCATGTTCCTTTCATTTTTATTTGAAGACGGCTCCCTCCCCAGCACCTTCGCCTCCCTACCCCCTACACTTTCACTCATCCGTCTCCTGAGCCGCTGACAGCTGCCCTGCGGGTGAACTCCTGATCCTCCTGTGTCTGGAGAGACCCTGGGGGGTGGTGGTCAGGCCAGAGCGTGCCCCCTCCCAGCTCCCTGGCCCCCAGCCCCTCACATACTCATGCCCTCAGGATAGGGCCACCTCAGCTGTAGGAACATACCCAGAAGGAAGAAAATGAAGGAGGGAAGGAGCAGGCAGGAGGACCAGGAGGAGGATGAGAACAGAAGAAACGAAGTGGGGGGAGAAAAGGAAGGAAAAATGAAACTAAGAAGCAACAGTGAGAGAGGGAAAGAGGGGACATAGGAAGGAGAAGAGAGAGGAAGGAAAGGAAAGGAGGAGGATCCATGGAAGGAGGAGGGTGGGGGGTTAGGGGGCTGCACCTGCTGCCAGAAGCCCAGGTGTCCCCAGGTGTGCAGGATGAGGCTGGATGGGGCCCCACTCCCCAGATCCACCTCTGGGAGCATAGCCCTCCCTTTGGCTGGGAGCCCAAAGGGCAAGCCCCAGGAGGCCACAGATCAGTGCCCTGGGCTCTATCCACAGTCTCTTGCTTGTGGCGGTCAGGGCTGTGAAGACCAGCCAGGTGGGGCCCTTCATTTCCTTCCCAGGATGGTGACTGCTTCTTCCTGGTCCTCATGCCCATGCCCACCTTAGCTGGCTCACGGCCTGCGGCCTCTATCCTGCCTGCTCCTCTTGGGGAATTGGTCCTAATTGTTGGGTTTTATGATGTTATGATGGACAGGGCCTCAAAGACCAAGTGTTTCCTATCCCTTCGCTTTACAGATGGGAAACTGAGGCCTAGAGAGGAGAAGGAGCTTGCTTACAGTCACATTGTGAGTTAAAGGGGAGCCCTGCCTTTCTAACGTCATGGGCTAACGTGGAAACAACAGCCAAAAAGGAATGGGGGCAGCCTGATGTCTCTCTGGAGAGGGCCGACATTCGATCCGTTCTGCTAGAAACACTGCCATGGCGTTTTGTATCCTAGGTGAGGGAAGACATTTGTGACTACAGTAGATAACCACATTCTGAGCACATGCCAGGAACTTTGACATATATTGTTCTCACATATCCTGTCAGAGGGATATTCTATGTCCCGCATTTACAGAGACATAAACCAAGGCCCAGAGACATTAAGTAACTTGTCCAAAGTCACACAGCTAGGAATTTGAGATGGGATTTGTTCATGCCATGCTCTATCTTGGATGATGATGGCCAGTGCTCTCCACCCTCCACCCCATTCTCAACCCCCCCCCCCCCCACCAAACTCCAGGGGTTAGGTCTGAGACACCCTCCCCCCGCCTCCATCCTGTACAGGACTGATATTGTCAGGGAGAACACAGGTGGGTGGAATCCTCTGACCATGACCCACTGACTTCCACCAAAGACCCCACAAGGACAAGGGTAACGTCCCCTGAGACACTGTGTGATTTATCTGGTGATATTGTTATTTTATGGGATGGGCCAAAGAGGTGTCAGGAAGCAAGTTTGCTGTAAATCTCTTCTCTCTGCTCCCTTTCCCTCTGCATGTCCCCTCCTAGGATTTATGGTGGAAAATGTCCAGAGCTAGGGACTCAGGGCTTGGGTTCAGGCTTGGGGTGGGAAGGCGAGGAACAATACATCTTCCTCCTCTGAGATCTGCTAACCGTGTGTGTGTATGTGTGTGTGTGAGCACTACCCATGCTCCATCGCAAGCCTGCAGTGTATACACCGCAAAATCTTTATTAAGACCTCCATGGCACTCTAATGGCTTTGCAGACAGAGCATATTGTCTGCACTCGAGGTGTGTTATGGGAGCCACCCCAGAGGCTGGTGCCCCATGTGTGCTTTCCTCACTGGTGGCTGCGAATTTCTGAATCAAGCCAGGAACCTGGGGGCAGAGCCCTTTGGGAACAGACCTGTGAGCCATATGCAACCTTGGAGGATGGGAAGAAGCAGGGGTCTCCCCATGGAGCAGGGGGCAGATGGAAAGGAACTGCTCCTGGGTACTTTTTGAGATTAGGGAGGCAGGTAGGAGGACAGCTTAAAGTTTGCCTTTAATGGGGTGTCTGGGTGGCTCAGTCGGTTAAGCGTCCCACTTTGGCTCAGGTCATGATCTCACAGTTGGTGAGTTCGAGCCCTGGGTCAGACTCCGTGCTGCCAGTGTGGAGCCTGGAGCCTGCTTTGGATTCTGTGTCTCCCTCTCTCTGCCTCGCCCCTACTCGCGCTCTGTCTCTCTCTTTCTCAATAAATAGGTGTTAAAAAAAAAGTTTGCCCTTAAGAGACACCAAAGCTCCTGTCCCTGGGGAGAGTAGGCCCCGGACAGGGAAGTCATCTTGGCCTGCACTGTGGATGCGGTGCTCCAGCCTGGCGCCCCGGAGAGATGCAATAAGCTGCAAAACCTGACTCCCTATGTGTAGAGAGCCTGGAGCGTGGACATCTCCTTGCTGTAGGGTCTGTACCAGGAGGTGAGCACGAGAGGACCGGTGGAGACTGAGGCGCCATCTCCCCCTTCGCAGCTCTCCCCCCATGGTGAGCTTCCTGGGCTGTGAATGCCGGGTTGTTTGCATGGAGCTGAGCTTGGCCAGCTCAGAGGCTGGCAGACACTGGCTGCAGCCAGAGGTCTAGAGACCACTCAGCCCAGAGAGGGAGGAGGAAGAGGAAGGAGAGGGAAGAAATGCTGAGGAGGGCAGCGGAGGAAGGGAAGAAGCTAGGGAAGGCCTTTCCTGACTTGTCTGTCCCAGCTCCCTTCCCCAGAGGCCTCTTCCCTCTGCCAAACCCCCTTCCCATCACAGAGCTCCCTGCACAGGCTCTGGCGGCCTCCACTTCGTCCTCTCCATTGCAGGGAAATTTCTCCAGAGTGTGTGGCACCCAGAGGACATGACTTGGGCACCCCACAATTCCCACGGTCCCACATCCGGTGTACAGAAGAGCACTCGGTGAATCCCAGCAAATGAATCCAGGAGAAAGGCGGAGATGTCGCTCTCCCTGTTAAAACCAGGTCACTCTCCCTCTCCATTTTTTCCCCTGCTCCTCTCCCAGATGCCCAGACCAGGGCTGCGCTGTGTCTCTGGTTAAATATATGGAATTATCTATTACAATACTTCAATATTTATTACATTGATTTCTCTTTAAATGCTTTGTAAATCATAGCAAAAAATAATGGCCTTCCAACAGAGAGTCATATACCGTAATCAACTGGAAGAAAGTCGGCATTGTAATTTAAAATAAAAAAAATCCTTATGTGAGTCTCTCGTTTAAATTAAGAGACAGGACGTGATTCAAATAATAAGACCCCAGTGAGGCTGGTTTTTCTTGGCAAATTAGTAGAGGTTTTAACTGGAACTGAAAAGGTGTTAAGGTGGAACACTGACCTTATTAGACCTTAATTATTTTCTGTTGTTACATTCCCGGAGCAGAGGGTTTTTTTCCAAAGTGGCCACGTTAGGCCTCATCGGAGGAACTTTGGCTTTCGAGAGATATCATTTCTCAAGAGGCATTAGTGGGATAAAAAGCAGACACTTTGCCTGTGTCCCTTTTCCTCATGCCAGAGTTTCCAGGGCTCCCAGAACTCCTGGTCTAGAGGCAACATTCTTGTCCTTGAAAGCTAAAAATTCACCTCACTGCATCTCGGGCTTCTTACGTTCAAACTTCTAGTGGCAGCCTCTTCCCCTAGATCTAGATCCTCTGTCGACTAGTGAAGCCCGCATCCATCTGGCCAAGAGAGAGGAAGGGCATGTGTGCTTTTGCGCCTGTGTGCGCGTGCACACGCTGGCTGTGGGGACACAGCCACCTCCCTCACCTTTCACTGCAACCTTCCTGCTCTGCTTTCATGGCCAACTTTGGCTGATTATTGGTCCCAAAGCTCTCCAGACCTAGCCCAAAATGCCAGGGCACCTGGAGATGAACTCAGCAAATGCCCTCCTCTCTAAGTGGAAATAATGTGAGTGAACTCCTAGCTCTATGCCTGGCATATGGTGGGCATCCAATAGTGCTGCTTTTATTTTTTGCTGGAAGGAAGAGCAATCAGAAAAAGTCTTTTCCACTTGTTTCCAGACCCCCCCCCCCCGCAACATATCCTACTGGCCCTGGGGTGGGGTACAGGGGTAGGAAAGAAATACTGAGCCCTAAGATGCTTTGGTGCAGACTTCTGTTCCACAATCACACATCGCTTCTGGAAGATAACCCAGCTGAGCTCTTTTTTTTTTTTTTAATTAAAAAAATTTTTTAAATGTTTATTTTTGAGAGGGAGAGAGAGAGAGAGAGAGAGACAGCGAGCAAGCAGTCAGGAAGAGAGGGAGACACAGAATCTGAAGCAGGTTCCAGGCTCTAAGCTGTCAGCACAGAGCCTGACTCGGGGCTCGAACTCATGAACTACAAGATCATGACCTGAGCTGAAGTTGGACACTCAACCAACCGAGACACCCAAGCTCCCCACGCCCTTTTTTTTTTTTTTTTTTTTTAATTAAACTAAATCAGTTCCATTCCTCCCACGGGCCTCCAAATAGACTTTGGATTTGATCAGATTGAGGGAGAACTTTTTCCGAGGCCTGGTGTCTTGGGGGACCATCTCTGGTGGTTCATCACTCTACAGAAGAAAGTTGGGGTGGAGGTGGAGGATGAAGTAGAGTGATGGCAAAGCCCTGGGGATTGGGGGACCGAGGCTGTTACTGGTGAGAGGGCTCCCCGAAGGAAGAGGTATATCACAGCTTGCTTTGGTTGTCCATCAGCTGTGAAAGTTGAGGCTTGTACTGCAGAGGTGAGACCTGTATTCTTCAGAGGATATCCAGAATCCTAGAACAGCAGGTCTGAAAGGGTTTTAGAGACTATCTAGGCAGACTCTCTGGCTTTATAGAGGGGACCCTGAAGCAATTTGAAATGGTCAAACACCCTGCCTGAGAGTCCATGGGAGTGCAGAATCAAGATGGTGAGGGAGGGACACAAAAGCTACAGGTACTGTGGTCTCTGGCCCAGGGGAGGCCTGCTGGAGTCCTGGAGTCTTGTCCCAGCAGGGGTGGGTCAGTCCCTGCCCCTGGCCAGCTGCAGTGACCCTTTCTGGACCCCATTCATGCCTTTCATCACTCAGAAAGGCCATGGATAAAGGACATTGTGCCAAAAGGAGCCAAGAGTCTGGGCTCCAGCCTCAGCAACTGCATATGACCGAGGAAGTACTTCTCTCTGAGCCTGTGTCCTCCCTGCCCAGAGTGCCGAGTGAGAGGCTGGCTGTGCAATAGCTTTGTAAGGATGTGCTGCACAGGTGGGAGGGACTTTTGTGGCCAGCCTGGATGCAGAGCTCCAGATGTAGAGATAATTTAATCAGACTTTGATTTGTGGGCTCAGATTGAGTTTTGCTTCCCTCTCTTACCTTCCTTGTGGCTTAATTCCAAATTCTGCCCTCACCCCACCAAGATGGGACAAGAGAGGAAGCTTAATTATCCAATAACATGACTGTAAAATAGACAGGTATTATTATACCCATGATACAGATAAATAAACTGAGGCACACATAGATTAACTCTCCGGCCCTCCCCTCACCCCAGCTGGTGAGAGGCAGAACTGGGATATGAACCCGTCTTTCTGACTCTGGATCCATCAAAATCCCAAGTGGCAGGGATTACATACACAGTGGAATATGGGCTCCACAGGGGCCGGGGTTTACAGATGATTTGTTTACTGTTGTATTCCCAGCCCCTCGAATTGTCCCTGGTACACAGTGACTAATAAATATTTTTAAATGATAAAGGTCAACTTTAAGGGAAGGTTTGGTATAGCAAAAGTGAGTTAGCAATAAACAACTTACTGGGAGCTTTATCTTACATCACAGTCTCATAGATGGTTCTGCGTGGTAGAGAATTTGGGGTAGTATTTCATTGTCCATGGGAGCCCTTTTTGGCTGTTTTTATTTCCAGTTACCACTGTGCCAGAGGTTTGGGCCTCAGATAGTGGTTAAGCAAAAAGGAAATAAAATGAGGAAACGGCAACACTGGCGGTAGCATAATATCTTTGCAGATCTATGCAGCTTATATTCAAATGATGTTACAGAGGCAAATACTATCTTTAAAAAAAAAATCTTTATTTTGAGGGAGGGAGAAAGAGGGGGGAGGAAGGGGCAGAGAGAGAGGGAGATACAGAATCCCAAGCAGGCTCTGCACTGTTAGCACAGAGCCCAATGCAGGGCTCAATCTCATGAACCCATGAGACCATGACCTTAGCCGAAACCAACTGAGCCACGCAGGGGCCCCAAGGCAAATACTATCTTGCTCCTTGGTAGAGTCCCTGGGGAGACCTTATGGAGAAGAGGACACTGCATGTTTTCCTAATCAATTCATCCTTCAACTTAATTTCTAAAGATATGGGCCCTTGATGCAAAGGCACCAACCTTTCATTCCGCCAATTTTTGCTGAGCACCTACTATATGCCTATGCGTTGGGTTAGCTCCTGGCAGGTACAGAGATGCCCAAGGCATGGTCAAGAGCATGGTCAAGGCATCAGGAGGCTGCCCTCGGGGCAGCCGGGCTGGTCCAGCAGCTTGCTTGACTCTTCCTTCTCTCCTCCCTGGTGGGCAGAGTCAGCATCTTGCCGCAGGTGGGTCTTTCTCCCCACTGCCAGCCTCACTTCTCACCCTCCACCCCCAGCTCCCAGGCCTGCTGAAAAGGTGCAAGAGGGAATCTGAGAGATTCTATGCTGTTTGTTTTGGGTTCAATGGAATCTCATTTACACGTGCTAATTGCAACTAATTGGCACTAATTGGATGAACAGGAAACCCTCTGGGAACACTCATACCTTTAATTTGTAGTAAATATCATTAATTAACATATGCTAATTAGATCCAATTAACATTGATTAAGGGTTTCCAGCTACTTGGAAAGTACAACTAACTCTGTGTCCTCCTCTCTTGGTTGCCTGAAGTCAGCACAAAATACAATATGTGAGGTCTGGGCAGGGAGAGGACTACCCTTCTGGAGACATCTCCATGTAGGGGGCAGTGCTCACCCAAGCTGGATGCTTGGAGGATGGCACCCTGCCCTCTCCCTCCCCAGGGCAGGGGGGTCTGCAGGGGTAAGGGCTGCAAGGTTAACACTTCTCAGGGAGTGGGAGAGTCTGACTGTTGGGAGGTTCACCCCTGGGCCTGGCTCCCAGTGTGGGTTGAAAGGGCACGCTAGAGGGGCGCCTGGGTGGCGCAGTCGGTTAAGCGTCCGACTTCAGCCAGGTCACGATCTCGCGGTCCGTGAGTTCGAGCCCCGCATCGGGCTCTGGGCTGATGGCTCAGAGCCTGGAGCCTGTTTCCGGTTCTGTGTCTCCCTCTCTCTCTGCCCCTCGCCCGTTCATGCTCTGTCTCTCTCTGTCCCAAAAATAAATAAACGTTGAAAAAAAAATTTTTTTTAAAAAGAAAGGGCACGCTAGAGGTCAGCCTGGCAGGGAGGGTGAGGCTGCTGAGACCAGTGTTTAGACTCCTCCTTCAAAGATGGTGGAGGGTGAGACCCATCAGCTCAAGTCCTGTGTGGTGCATGCACACAGACACACAGACAAACGGACACATACATACTCCTCCTCTGTCCGACAAAGGTGTGTGGATGTTGACCTCCTCTATCTGACACTGATGTGTGAATGGGGACACCTCCTTGGTCTGACAGACACAGAGATGGTGGGGCCATCTCTGTCAGGCATCTCCTTTGTCCATTTTAGGATGTTTTTCACTCAAGATTGGGATGATCAAATTATCCAGGGTATTGGTGTCGGATTAAAAAAAAAAAATCACTTGCCTGGGAACCAGAAGGCTTTTAGGTTTACTTTCACTTCTGTTACCAACTAGCTATGAGACTCTTGGGTTCATTAAAATATATATAAATTGTTTTTAGTCCAATTACAAAAAAACAAATATTTACTGCAGACATCCCCCCAATCCCCCGTCCAAGATCACCCTTCCTGTAATAGGCTTCCAAGGCCCTGCCTTTCCTTTTCTGCAACATTGACTTTACTGCATCATGTCCAATGTCCGTCTTCATCAACAAGCTACAAGTTCTCTAAAAGCAGGGTTTGAATCTGGCTTGTTCACTGTGGCACTTCATGGGCACTAAAAAAGCTGTTAGTGAGTTAAATAATATGTGGGATGGGGGTGCCTGGGTGGCTCGGTCAGTTAAGCGTCCAACTTAGGCTCAGGTCATGATCTCGTGGTTTGTGAGTTCGAGCCCCACATCAGGCTCTGTGCTGACAGCTCAGAGCCTGGAGCCTGCTTCAGATTCTGTGT